CGGGGCCCTCCCGCCCGCCGGTGCTCGTGGCTGCAGCCATCGAACAGGGACAAAAGGGAGAGCAGAAACACTCTCCTTAGTTATGCCACACACCAGAGTGATCTCTTTCTGTCTAATACTTTAGGAGAGAAGCTGAAAAGCCACCGGGAGGCAGCACAGCGCTGTGGAAGCTTTCCTTTCCCTCAGACAAGGGCACTCCAAGCCCAGCGAGAGGTGCAGGTTCTGTGGCTCCTCTCTCCGCTGGGCAGGGAGCTGCGCAACCAGCGCCCAGGGACCCCGGAGCTGACACACACTGCCTAGCACTCTAAAATTATTTTGTATTACACACAAACATATGCCCTCTTGTTCAAATTACAACTTGATTCATAAACAAGGACCATAAATTAAGTGGAACATGAAACATATTGAAACCATCAGTCCTTGAGCCTTGGTTCTGGATGCCATTTTTCCCTATATTAATGCCTTTTTTTTCCTGTTTTGTTTCCCGTTTCAGTCTCAGAGGAATATTTGCAAACAGCATACTTTATGATACCACAAGTCTGACCCTGGTTTCTGTCAGCATGTTGCCTGCCCTGCCCGTTCCTGACTCTATTTTGAATAAGTATGAAAAGCCCATGAAATGTCAAATTGAAGATAACAGCAAAAGAACTCTGTAAGATGCCTTTGGAAGATATTGCTTTACTAGATAGTATTTCTCAGTCTAAAATTCATTACTTGGGCTGAATTATTACAGTGCCTTAGGGAAAGCGTTGACTTTGGGGAGAATTAATACATCTGTAGTTGCTGGCACTGTGTTCAAAGCTTAGTCCAGGTGTTTGCTTTGGATTTTAGCTCCCTGCCACCTCCACCTGACCTGCACCAACCATCGGGCCTCTCCTTAACCTGAATACTTCCGTTTCCGAGCTACTGGTCAATGACGCTGCACAACAATCAGCTACAGTCATTACATTAGTTTAATGAGCTTAATATTAGTTTAATAATTTTGCGAACCTGTATACCCCAAACATTCCGATAGGACAATACACCAAACCCCTGGTCACCACAGGAACAAAACCGTAATTGGGAATTCTTCCTGAAGGTCCTGAATGCTTTCCCCGATTGCCTCCGAGTTTCTGACACATCCCATCAGCAGCGCAACTGTTCTCCAGCCGAATCTTTGCAGCATTTAATAAGACAAACACGTGGCCCCAGCAATATTTCTGTTAACATCCAGCAACAAGGCAGGCAAGAGCCTCTGCTGCAGGTTGGCTCTCCAGATGTCAAAGCAAAAGTAATGAGGAGAAACAGGTTTGCTGGCCGAGTCCTATGGACAGAGACACAATTTGCCCCTCGCCGTAAGGTGTATTTTGTGTTCCCCCACCATGGTGTTTCTTGTTCACGCTTTCCCCCAAAGCTGTTCCCCGAGGGTGCCAGGTCCCAGCTCTCAGCAGGGTCTGCAAAGGAGCTCCCCCAAACCAGTCCCACAGCGCAGGGCAGAGCCCACACTCCTGAGCAGAGCGCATCGCTAGCACAGCGGTCTCTTCTCTTGGCTTTCTTAATTTGTTCCTGTTGTGAATATGAGAGGGAAAGGAAAACAACCGGGAGTAATTCTCAACAGCTGCGGAAAACACCAACACAGAAGACTCCGGAGATGTTTCTTTATGCAAGAGAAGGTTTAGCTCAAGTACCACAAACATTTGGCATTTGTATTTATAGCAGAAAGGTTAAAGGAAGCTGAAAACGTTGGGCCACCCCT